CCAGCTGGCGGCGGCGAGAGTGCCGCTGCGGCGACCGCGACCGCGACCGAGCGTGCGCGCCGGGAATGGCCCGCCCCTGGGTGGGAGGAAGGAGGCTGCCCGCAGAGTTGTCTGCGGCCGATGGGCCGGCGGCGGCGGGGAGGACTGGCGACGCAGCGCGGGCGATTGATTGCGGAGTGTCCGAGAGGAGGGGCGGAAGCCTCCGCGAGCGAAGCGGACGAGCCAGGAGACCGCGGGCGCGGGCAACGTTCATCATGGCGATGTACTGGTTGCGACCGATGCAGGTGAGCCGGAGAACGTCTGCGGCGGTAAAGTTGGGCAGAGAATCATACGAGCGCTGATGAGCCATGAGCGACTCCAGCATGGCGCGGTAGTAGGAGAAGGGAGTGATGTTGAGGAGAGCAACCAGATGCGACATGAGATGGTAGGGATAGAGCAGGAGCGAGGCGAGCGAGGCCAGGACCAATGATTGATAGTAAGCAATGGGTGGGGTGAGCATGGGTGCCAAGCTTGATTCGTAGGCCATTTGATGGGTCAGCGCCTGCCGGAGCACCAGAGCCTTCCACCGCCCACGGCTTCCCACTGCTGCTGCTGCCCATTCGGGGTACTCTTCAAACACAGTCGTCGACCCAAGCAGCTCCTCCAGCTCTTCATGCTGCCCTCGGTGTTTGGCCGACGACATGGCTTAGAGCAGTGGTCACGTGTAAGGTGTTGGTAGTCGGGAGGGGGGCGGGGGGGACGGGGGTATTACTTAGGCACCCGGGTCAAGGGCGGGCGCGGGCTCGGGCGAGAGGTCGATGACGACTGGCGCGGCAGAGAGTGGCTTGTGGCGCTTGGTCGGCGAAGGGTTGGTATCAGCGTCATCGTTGTCATCGTCACCGTCGAGTGCGATAGGCTGTGTTGATGATGACGACGACGATGCAATGTCGTCTGCGCCGTCGTCCGGAACAGCCGACGGCGGCGGCGAGTCGCGCTTACGCTTGCCAAAGAACGACATGAGGGTGCCCTTGGCCGGGGCCTGCGGCTTGGGCGCCTTGCCGGTGACCTGCGTGATGAGCGTGGCGGCGTTGTTGAGGCCTGTGGAGCCCTTGTCAAACTGAAAGTAGGCAAATACGTCTTTGCCATCGGCGAGCCACCGCTTGATGCGGGTGGTGAACGTGGTGAGCTCGTCGTCGGTGTAGTTGTCCTCGTGCAAGAGGCGGATGCCGTGGAAGCGGATGTAGGTCCAGTCTGCGGTCAGCTCCTCGACCCACGGCAGATCTGGATGCGATGAGAGGACAAGCGCCCAGTTGTTGGCTCGCAGGACGGCGTACACATCGGCACGGAACCACGATGGGTGGCGGAACTCAAACGCTACCCGCAAGTGCTCCTTGTCGTCGAGCTCGTGCAGGACCAGCGCAAGCTGCTGCAGCTTGTCCAGGCTACGCGCAAACCGCGGCGGGAGCTGGAAGAGAAGCGGGCCGAGAGCGCCAACCTTGCGCAGCGGAGCCAGCCTCTTCCACAGAAACCGGATCGTGTCGCCCGGATCCTCCAGCTGGCTCTCGTGTGTCACGCTCTTCGGCACTTTGATGGCGTACTGGAAGCTCCTGCCCGTCGCCTGCTTGGCCCAGCCCTGGATGGTGCTCTCACGCGGGATGCCGTAGAACGAGGTGTTCATCTCGCACGTCGGGTACCGGTTGGCGTAGTGGAAGAACTCTTGATCCTTCTTGAGCCCATGCGGGAAGAACACTGCCTTGCTCACCGCGTGAGTCGCGAGGAGAACAAAAAAAGGTCGTGGTTTCGCCTACGCCGCACACGTCCCGCGCCTTCGGTCTCCCCGTATATCCCCCACAATCCCACACCACACCACACCAAACATCACTCTCGTCTAGCCTATCCCCGCTCCCCCTCCGCTCCCCAATCCCTCCCTCCCTCCCTTCTGTCCTTTGGTTTTCCCACCGGATCCCCACAACCAACAGCAAAAAAAAGGTCGTGGTTCGCCCCCCCCCCCCCCCCCCTCCTCCTTCCCTTGCACCTACCACCCTTGCGCCACTCTGGCGAGGAGAACCCAGCATGGCCACAGCGCAGGACTCCAGGCGGTGTAGTCTCTGCCCCACTGCTCATGGCGTCAACTCGTTCGGGTGAGGTGTGCTCTGGTGTGGCGTGTGTCATGCCGCGTGTGCTGCGTGTCCGTGTGGGCGTCACCGGTTGGTCGGTCAGTCCGTTCAGTCGGTCGGTCGGTCAGACATCGCCACGCATGCCAGCAGTCTCCACCGCCACGGCCATCGCCATCGCCACGCCACGCCACATCACCTGACCCCCCACCCCCTTGTTGCTATGGCCACACATGTTCAGGAGCTGAATGAAGCCGTGGGCAATCTCTATGACTTGTACCTCTCTCGGAGTGGATACGCCCAAGTCGTTCGTGGTCTCTGCCCTCATGGCGAGGACCGAGTGGACGTGGCTGGCAACGATGGAAATGGAAGACACGGCGGTGGCGGTGGCGGTGGCGGTGGCGGTGGTGGTGGTGGTGGTGACGGCGACGGCGATGGCGAGTCCGATGACGATGGTACCATGGTGATGGCGAGCATTCCGGCTGGTCAGGTTGGTGATGCCGAAGCTGATCCAGCCTTCTACATCCACAAGCCGAACGATCTTCGGCCGTTCTATACCCTCGCCACCGAGGGCATGTCGTACTTTGCCATGGATGTCATACCGGAGGTCGGCCCGGTCGAGGTGCGGCGAGAGTTGGAGCGGGTCGAGTTTATGATGTATCTTCCGCACGATTGGGTTCCGGCTGGGCATCTTGGTGATGAACTCAACGAGAGCAACTGGCCGTTCTACGCGATGAGGGCCTTGTGCTCGTGGATCTCGCAGACCCGGACGTGGATCGGCGAGGGCCACACGGTTCCAATGTATTTGGACGGCACGCCGGCAGTGCCCGGCTCGCAGCTGACCCACATGCTCTTCCTCCCGCCGGTCCTCTTTGAGCACCCGGAGTTTGCGTTCTGCAAAGTGGACGACCAGCTCTCGTTCAACATGCTTGTCATCGTGCCGATCACCAAGCCGGAGTGGGAGCTGAAGCGCAGCGGCGGGCTGGACGCGCTCGTGCCGCTCCTCGAGTCGGGTGAGATTCCGACCGTTGTTGACATCCATCGCTCGTCTGCGGTGTAGCAAGCCGTGACACTAAATGACCTTGACGTTGGCAAAGGTGCCGAGGTAGGGAATGACGTCGTCGTCGTCGTCATCGTCGTCGTCGGACTCGACGCTGACGCGTGCGGGCTCTGCCGGCGCGTGCAGGTTTGTCGCGGACGGGGTGCGCGACTTGTAGCCTGCAGGATCTGGGAGGATGTGCATGTCAACCTTGGAGGCAAAGCGGACCATGGTGGTGCGCTTGGGCGCCGAGGACGAGGCGACGCTGGAGACGGCGGCCGAGTCGTCGTCGTCCGACTCGGAGGTGTGCGAGTGAGCGGCGGCGACCTGGGCGCGGAGGCGTTCGAGGCCACGCTGCAGCGCCATGCCATGCATCTCGACGTCGTGAAGCTTGGACTGGAGAAACTGGTGCTCGGCCGCACGCTCAGCGCGCTCGGCCTCGAGCAGGGTGAGCTGCTCCTGGACACGTGCGGCAAGCTTCTCGTTCTCGCGCATGGCGTTGTCCATCAGGCGCCGCATGTCCTCCATCATCTCGTACTGGTGCGACTCGACGACCGTGTTGACCCGCATGAGGGCGGTGACCGAGTCGACCGAGTCGACCGACCCGCGACGGGAGCGGCCGCGGCTGGCCGACCGGCGGTCGGCCGAGTCGCGACCGCGGCTCGAGTCACGCCGCAACATGCTGGCGTCCTCCATGTACAGTGAGAGATCACCCAGCGAAGTTCCCTCATCGCCCCAGAGCGAGATCTGTGAGTTGCGCCGGCCGGAGAGGACCGATGCGGTGTCGTCGCCGCCGCCCCCGGTTGACGGGCGGTGGCGAGCCTTTCGGATCGAGTGCCGGAGCTCGACAAGCGTCCGCTTCCGCCCGACTGCGGTTCGAGTCGAGGTCTCGGACAGGTCCGACATGTCGGTGTAGGTCGACATGGCCGAGCCAGGGCGGTGGGTCCTGGCGCGGACAATGAGAGAGGCCACCTTTTTGAAGACCCACATCTCGGTCGACGAGTCGCATGGGTCCTGGTTCCGGGCGCGGACGCGAGTCCGCAAATGACGGCGAAACACGGTCATGGTGGGGTGGTGCAGAAGCGCCGGTGGGAGCGAGACCAGATCTGGGTTGCCGCGCAGGTAGATGTCGTGAAGCTGTGAGAGCCGAAGCAAAGCCCGGAAAGGCAGCTGCTGCAAGCGGTTGTCCTCGAGTGCCAGCTCGCGCAGCTCGGTGCAAAACCCGATCGACTCTGGAACTGACATCAAATGGTTCGACGAGGCGTACAGCGCTTGAAGATTGACCAAGCCGGCCAGCGGCGGGAGGGCGACGAGCTTGTTGCCCGAGACCGAGAGAACCTCCAGCGACTCGAGCAGCTCGAGCTCGGCAGGCAAGTACGCCAGATTGTTGTTGTTGAGATACAGCTTTTTCAGCCGGCGGACGGTAAAGACCGAAAGCGGAAAAGTGACGATGGCATTGTGGTTGAGATACAGCGCCGAGAGCAGGACGAGCGACGAAAAGTCGACGTCGTCCAGCGAGACGATCTCGTTCCAGCCCAGCATGAGGGCGGTTGCACGGAACTTGGACATGACATTGCTGTAGAGCCGCGCACATGTCAACCGAGTATTCATCGCATGTGTGATCCGTGTGTCGCCGTGTCAGCGTGTCGCCGTGTCAGCGTGTCGCCGTGTCCGTCGTGCCCCCGTCCGTCAGTCAGTTGGCCGCTGGCCGCTGCCGCTGCCGCACCAACCTGCTTCCCTCTCCCCTCCCCCCTCCAGCTCGTCCTCCCCCTCCAGCTCGTCCTCCCCATGGTAATGTTCTTATGAGCCACGGGCGACTGCACCGCACAATATAACGACGAAGCCCAAAAAAGGAAGAACAAGTTGGACTCGTCTTCATCTTTCCAGAAAAAGAAATACGGAATCTTAATTCGGAGGAATTAAGTGTCTTAAACACACGCAAGGCCGCCCAGTCGGAAGCGAATACAACACCTCGTCGGCACGCTTTAATTCAGCGTCATATCGCGAAAACTGCGCTAGAGT